TGATGTGAGCCATTCATTTGAGATCTTCGCTCCCCATTGCTGGCTGTATAACACGGTGAAGAAAGCTGAAGACAGAATCGCAAGGCTGCAAAATACCCACGCTATGTATACAAAAACGTTTGGTAGTCGTTCTGGCGAGTTTTCCTCCACGTGATCCTTTTGTTTTGTCTTGGGTCTAACGTTTCGAAAAACAGTTACAATGAAAACATTTAATGGCAGCGCAATTAGCCCACTTTGTATTCCAGTTTTCACCTGTGTCCAACTCATGGTCAACGGGCCAATTTGAAAGGTATCGTGAGGCTTCTGCCCAAAGTCATAGAAAATAGCATTTGTAATCATGGCCGAGAAAAACACAGACATGCAACATGAGAAACGCTGCGTCCGCGTAAAGGGGCTTTGAGGTGGTTTGGCGAATACAGAAATCCATAAGTGTTCATCAGTTAGTTGCTTTGAAGCTCGGAAGTAGAAAAGGTTTTTAAACGAAGAAACGTCTTTCTTGTTTGAAGTCTTGAGCTCGACTTCGACCTCTCCCTCACCTCTTTCGACTGCCAGCCATCTTTTTGCGAGGATATACCATTTTTCCTGCGACTCCACTTCCGTTATAACGAGATCTTGTAAGAACCATCCAGGACTCTCGCCGCTATTGTCGTGCCACACTTTTACTTTGTAAAGTGGTCCCAGTCTTCTTGGCAAAGATATTGTAAATGTGTTAATACTTCCGCGAGAGAAAAACGATTTCTGGAAAGTTGGGTCGTTAAGGACGATCATATCACTGCACGAGTCCTCGCCGTAAAGTATCATTCCAACGCTGGCTGTGGTTCCATTGCCTATCCACATTCCTGTCTGAATGGATATGTGATAGAGATGTTGTCCCTCCTCATCGCCGGCCGGAAGATAAACGTTTGGTATTATCTAGTGGTAAAAACAACTTAAACAATCAATCTCTATCTGGCATAATAGCAACCTCTACTTATCTGTGTAACTGAAAATGTAAAGACGAGCGATTATTGAGATATCAATGAGGTCTCTCCCACAGAAAAGAGAAGAAAAATTCAGCATTTGACTAATCTAGTTTGGCACCCAAAGTGAGAAAGGGAATTCCTTCATCATTTGACAAATCTCACTGACAAGTTCTAAATAATTGTAATCGTTCTAAATGTTGTTGTTTAATTCCTTTTTCACATAATAGTTACTGTTTCTCAATGTTTCTTCAAAAATTAGCATCGAAAATATCATAATGTGGCAAAATACAAGCCGTAAGCATAAATTCATGCGAAACTGGAGATTTTTTTAAAGTTAAATTTATTCGCATGTCTGACTTCTTTACCCCTTCTGAATAAAAAGATTAAGGCAACCGTTTTTTTTACTGACCTTTTGTTTATCTTGTCTGTCCGCTCGACGGGTGAAGACGAGGCCAATAAGATAGATCAAGAGCATGCTGCATACCGTTGCTAGGACAACAAAGTTCTTTCTAAGATCTTTCGTAAACTCACCAAACACTTTGTGAAATTCAATTCTATTTGGTTCCACAAAGAACTCTCCGCCAAAAGAGGATAGGTGGTTACATTGGCAGTAAATATTTCCCGAAACAACTTCTGGCTCAATCTAAAGAAGTAAAACCAGACATAATCAATTTTGAGAACGATAAAATATCACCGTTAACAAATTTCTTGCCCATAGGGGTGTGGTGGGCTCGTTTGCGACCCCATCATCACTCAACCCCCGGCAGACACAAGACAAGAAAGCATAATTGCAGAATTAATTTTTTTTGTTTTTTAATCATCATTTACTAATGCTAGCAGCAACCCTTACCTTACAGCCCTCTTCGGTCCAATACTCCTTTTCTTCTGACCAATAAAAGCAACTTCCAATGGACACCACCAATGTGTAATTTAAATCAGTAGAAGCATTGAAATCTGGCAGCAAAATGACGGGTTTAGGTGTAGGGATTGGAGGCGGATCTTTCGAACCAACACAAGATCGTTTCTTCCGTCTTCCTCCATCTTTGCAATAGCTCCGGGGCCCAGTCTTAGCGGAGTGATCAACACTTTTTCGTGCCATTAGGCTCGTTTTTAATGCGGCCAATTGGACGTTGATTGGCGAGGTTGGCGACTTCCAATAGGCACTTATAGAAATCGTAGGGTGTTAACACTAGCTCTCCAATAGTCTTTTTAAGAGTAATTTTAAGCCCTTCACTAACGCTTCCGCTCATCTGTTTTGATGTAGAGATGCTGGTGTGATAAATTTCCACTGAATGTCTTTCTCTGCTGAGAAATCACGCAGCTTTTCGGATTCTCATCCGCTGATCATTTCCTTTAGCTTTCGCTCTGCTCCAATGGGCTGGGATCCATTGTAGCTTATCAAGAGGTTGTTTTGTCCCCTTACGGAAATAAATCTTCGGAGTACTTGAATAAATTCCATAGTTAAGTATTCTACTGCAAGATAAAGGTAAAACCTGCTTATGAGCCAAGTGACCCATTGCACTTAACTCCGGTTTCCGTGGCATGAAGTGACTAGGGGTTTTTCTTCTCACCTGTGGATGGAATGCTAGTCCATTGCAGGGTTACCCCCAGTATTAAATTCGCTGGTACTCATTTAATTCTCTTAGGTGAAAAGAGGCACTGAGAGAGAGTAAAGTGTCTTGCCCAAGGACACAGCACAATGTTCCCGGCCAAGGCGGACCCAACCCGGACCATTCGATCCGGAGTCGAGCGCACTAACCATGTGGCCACCGCGCCTCGAAAGTTTACCGCAAGCTCTAAGTGAACTACTCTTGTATACAGACACGTAAATATGACTCCGTAGTACTTGATTGTCTTGTTGCGACCATTTCAACACAGTGCGGGCCAACGTAGTCGCAGGTCGTGTAATAAAACAGACGTGTAAAAGGTGCCAGCCGGCATTAAGGCAATTCAGCCATGAATTGAGATTTGGCCTTAGCTTGCACCTCACTGTAGAACGCGCATCGAAACTGTACTTATTTTGCAAGATAGTGGACTCTACGTATTCAGAGCTTTCTCCTTGTGTTCCCCTCCTTGTGTCGCTGCTACTGCTGAGTGCCTACAATGCTGTACATGGTGTGTTATGAGAAGAGATATCCATTGCTTTCTCGGGAGTAACACAAGATGTTTGGTTTCGTAAGAGACTAAGGCTTTGTCTACTCGACCACCTACTCGGACAATGCCATTAGAATATGTGTATGGGCTGACTGTCAAGTAGTTATTTTAGAAAATCCATAAATATCACAGAAAGTTGCAACATATCACTTACCGTGCCACTCAGCTTGAGTTAAGAATTATTACGTAAACTGATTTCAACTCTTCGGCTCTTAATCACCGAATATTGCCCTTGTTTATTCAGCATAAACCTACTTTAAGTATTGTTTCCCTTCCTAAAGAAAAGAAAAGGATGCTATTCCAAGGCAAATATCCTTCGAGAAATTCTTAAGATTTCCTAACAGTTTAGATGGTAACGACTGTTACTCCTGTATAGAAAATGGAACTGCAAGATTAAGGTCTTCACTAGGAAGATAACTCAATGGCTTCTTGTCAGGGCTCAGACTTGGATCTCCCGAATCTTGTTCAGATCGTAGGTGAAGCTGTCTTGAAGGACCTTAAGGAAACTATAACCTTTTACAAGTGTGAATTTTCATTTTCTCTGTAATATAACAAGTTTATATTTGATTTAATTTCAGCAAAGTCCAGTTGCTACTCCCCTGATGTTGATATACACATCGTCAATAATAAATCTTTAACCATGGAAGTTTTAACAACTTCGCGCCCGGAACTGTTTCCCGTCATATCTCGCTGTGAAACCCGCTGCAGATTAAGTTCCTCCTTATGGAAAATGTCATTAATTTGTGGCGAAAGTAGAATACCTACATCGATTAGCATGAGGACGAATCTCACATTTAACCCTCGCCGGATTTGTGGATATTGCAATACTCCTTATTCAATATTCATCAGTTACACTGCACTTCTCAATGGAAAGAAGATAGAGGCTTTTAGCATCCTAAAGGTGGTACTACCAGAACTTTCAGCAGTGATAAAAGGCAGGCAGGAGACTAGTAAAGGAGAGTTAGGTGAAGTAGTCTTAGATGCTTCGCAGTCACATGATCCGGATGGCCTGGCCCATGGAGTGCTTCATTTTAATTGGTTTTGTGGCCAGAAGAAAGACGATATGTCTCTGAAGGAGGGCTGCAGTTACGGAAAGATGACCCAAAACGGAACAATTTTGGTCGTTAATGTTGCTGGACTAAAGTCAAAGCAGAGCTATTATTTCAGAGTTCTAATTTCAAAGGGAAACAGGAGAAAAATAGCAACTCACGTACTTAAGGTGAATCCAGCTGTTAACTTCACTTTCAGGTAAATATAGAAATGTCTTTTGACACTCTTTCTATTAATTAGACCGTCATATTTTTCTTAGTTTCGAAATGAGATTGGATGGCATACGAACAAAGTCAGAGAAGAAAAGAACCACCATGTGATCCAATGCTGGCGTTAACGAGCCCGAGGATATTGCAGAGTATACATTGTAATATCGATCTGTCTGAGATATCTGCGCATTTTCACTACTGGAAATTTTTAGGAACTAAAGTCAACTTAGAAATTCGATGTAACTTACAAACTGATTCAAATCCTAAATTTGGAAGCATTTTTAGCATTTTTTATTGTTTTCAACTTTAGTTGCAATCAATATATTGCACAAAATGTCTTAAACTTGTGTGATACTATGGACTACAACCTTTCCTGAGGCTATTAGAAGTAATTGGATCTTACCGAAATGAGATTTCATTTACAAATGTAAACAAAGGGTGAATGAGGAGCATGTTGCTGTTTAGTACTAAACGTGAACTTATTATTGGGAGAAATAAGTTCGTTTCTGCTGCTGAGCCTGTCGTACAACTATTAATAATAATGATAATAATAATAATAGTAATAATGATAATAATATCAGTGACGATACTTTGTATTATAGATGTATAGCCAATTGCGGTGATAAGGTCGTTCAATCCAAACCGTTGAAGCTCAACCCTAAATGTGAGGGGAAACTATGCAATTTGACCAGGAATATAACATGGTTTGTCTACATTCTTCACACCACAAACCATAGCCGTAGATGGAAAAATATACCATCATTTACTCGTTCAACTCCAAGAGAATTGAGAATGTTTTGCTTGAAGGCATTTCACTTATGGAATAGTTCTGATGAAACCAGAGAACCTCGGATAAAGATCAACGCTACGATTGAAATTCAAGTTAAACATGATTTGATCCTCGAAGGCCACGAAAAAGAGTTTATTATGAATTCCTTTCCCATGAGAAATGAAGTTGGCTGTACTGTCACGCCTAATGACGGTTTCGCAGTGGAAACGTTATTCAATATAACTTGCGTTGGATGGGGTGACGAGGATCAACCCCTAAGGTATGAGTATCGCTACAACACAAAGGCTGGTATAGTGATCAATTACCCAAAGGCAATAAATAACACGCTGAGTACATATTTTCCCGGGGGGGATAGAGCAAAGGACTTTGAGTTACTGGTGGACGTTCGTGTTACGGATAAACTTGGAAATATGGCAACTAGCCAAATTAAAGTCAAGGTAAGACAATGATTACCATTGTTATTTTTAATCAAGTATGCTTCATTCGACCTTAAGATAAAAGTCAAGTAAAGAAATGAGCTATGATACTACAAGTTGGGAGGGAGGAAATTTTAGAGGGTTCAGTTTTTTTGAAAAGGAATCTGATTACAATTTGATTAGTTATTTGCTTGACATGGCCTTGTTTGATGTTGTAATGACATCATCACGGCGTATCTGCTATAGTCTCCAGGGAATGCTAATACATGGTTCACGCTGACCTCTCCGACATTGATGGCTATGAAATGAATCTTCATCGAGGCAAAGGCACGGCTAACCAGAAGTAGTTATCATTGCAAACTTTGAGAAACTGCAGAAAAATCCAGGAGATTTATTTTTTTTATCTTTTTCCGACGATGATGAAAATAGGAAGATGTCTTATTGTTTTCGTCGTTAATTGAAAACCCTGTCATCGCAATTAGCATAGGGAAGGTTGACCACTTCAGGATTTCTATTCTTTTTTACTTTAACTGGTATTTCAAAACCACCTTTTTATGCTTGATTGTGCTTTTTCGATTTACGATTGCATCACTGCTTGTTTCGGGTGTACACTTTCAAGATGTGTTTTTTCCGATAGTCTCAGCAGTTTTATTTCATTCTGAGTAGGTGAGATACCAGGAATCAGTGATCGAAAC